ATGCAAAATAGAATTCGCAGCAAACATGAAACAAGCTTATCAACTCCGTAAAGCAGCTGATGACGTCAACTGTCAAGTTTTAATACAAATGACAATTACGATTAACATGGAACATTTCAGCTTATCTGAGAAACAAATTTCCAACTGCATCAGTCAGAAAGCTACAAACAACTGTAAAGACAGTATTAGCATTGCTTATACGAAGAGTGACGCGGACTCACAATACTGGGTCAAATGATGCCAAATTTTATTCCATAGAGATGAATAAAATAAAATTTTATAATTCAATATTTAATACACGTTAAATTATCACTGGACTGCTGAATGGTTGACGGGAGTCCCTTTGTCACGACGCCTAGTACTTCACCCGAGTAAGTAAGTCTAGCAGCATGGAATGAAGCCGTACAAACAAATTACTGATAAGATAATGCAGTGGGTTCAAGAAGTTCTAATTAAAAACTGCCTTACTGATCAACCGATTAACTAACCTACATAAACAAAAAGCCTGAACGTTAATTATACTCCAGGACAAGAAATACTGACGATGACTAACTGCGCTAGGAAGAAACCTGTGTAGGACATTTTTGAACTTTTCATTAACATAACAACGATACCAATGCTATATAGTCATAAAACACGCCTGGCAGTATCCGACTCGTGGATTATGACCTCTGTACGAATAAAGAACGCGCCGCAATGATTCGATTTTTTCTGCCTGCAGATCTTCGAAGTAGATATTGTTTGGAAGAGTTCTGGTCAGATCTAAATCGATCTAAAAAGTTTCACACTGAACAACACAGTAAAATGAAGCTACCACATACATCACTGCAAACATATACTATACTGAATACAGCTAGAGGATACGCAATGCTAATATATCTGCATATTAGTGACTGGATTAGTTCCAGTAAAAACCTATGAAACGTTAATGTACGCTTCACAAAATCTTTTATACGAATGAAAGAGACTTTTGAGCATTTTTCTGATATGCAGTGCTACGCTATATATATACATTTACTATAACTATACTATATATTAACATAAACAGTTAGAAACTCTATTATTAAACTGACTGCTGTCAGGTTGATAGCTTAATGTGCGATTACTGGACACAACTTATCAAACATCGATGAAACAAAAAATCCGCTATTCGAGCAGTGAATACTAAAGAGGTCAATTTCGTATTGGAACGTTCGTTCCTTCTCTTCCTTAGAATCTGTCTGCCGTACGGCCGGTAGTACAAAGAGATATTTTGGCAGTCACGGCGGCTCGACTCCAGAGGAAGGGGATGCTTGAG